TGAATTTTGGAGCATTGTTTCCTTAGTAGGAAGGAGTTTTGAGAAAGGTAAGAAGACAAGCTCAGAGCTCAAGAAACTATGAAGAATAATATTATAATCACAACAACTCGTTATTTGTTTTTAAGCTCAATCCTTCAGAAGGTTATTATCTGGAGTTGAATAATAATAGATTCAGGCTCTTTTTATGTGGAGGAAATCTTCAACAACAGTGTTCATAGGGAAGGACATTAATCAGGAAAGAGAAGTGAGCCTTGTTTCTAATAATGTTTGCATAATAGCTACCCTTGGGTATATTGCTTGACTGAAAATAAATATTCATGCTTTCCACATCCAGTACAATTGGAAATTATTCGTGGTTATGATTCTGTCATATGATCTTCTACCTGTTCAAGGGGACTTCAAACTGGGAGGCTGTTGGAAACCAAAAAACATAAATAACAATGCTTGTGAATGATATGGGGTAGAAGTTGAAAGAGGCTGTAGTGTTGGCTATGGGGAGAAAAGGAGCGAAGAGTGGGAACTTAACTGTTTCCAGAGGGGGAGAAGCAGACTCACACTGACATGCTTAAGGACATTTATATGCTCTCCTGGTTTGCTTGTAGCTCTTCAATAGCTTCTCATCACCAGGAGAATAAAATTTAAGTGCCTTATCTTGGTGTCAGACTCACTGCCTGGAGTGGTTCCTGTGAAACCTTGGATCGCGTTACCTGAGACTACTCTCCACCTCAGATGTGACAACACAAAGCTCTTTGCAGATTCCCTCAGACACCATGACTTACCATTATCTCTTTGTTCACATCCTTCCTTCATCTTGCAAGGATTTTTCAAATCTTCTTTGTTAATTAATCTATGTATTATAGAAGAGTCAGCTTAAACTTCACCTGCTTCAGGAAGCCTTCTATGAACTCCACACCTAGTCAAGAGTTTTACCCAGACTGTCCTATTTTTATTGACTTATATATTTAGTGATCCTTAAAGAGCCTTTGTCCTGGGGAGTTTTTTCATCATCTTGCTTTATTGCTTACATGCACCAAATTTTATTACATAAATGCTTTCAGTTAATTAATTCATTTTTCTTTCCTTTTCTGTTTCCTTTCTCCTTTCTCTGTTTTTCTCTCTCTTTTTATTAACTTTTAAATTCTGACAAATGTTTCAATACAGTCTTGAGAACATAAGCTATTTTGTTGTTGTTGTTGTTGTTTTGTTTGTTGGTTGGTTTTGAGACAGACTCTCGCTCTGTGGCTCAGGCTGGAGTGCAGTGGCATAATCTCGGCTCACTGCAGCCTCCACCTACCAGGTTCAAGCAATTCTCTGCCTTGGCCTCCTGCGTAGCTGGGATTATGGGTGCCCACCACCACACCTGGCTAATTTATTTTTATTTTTAGTAGAGACAGGGTTTCACCATCTTGGCCAGGCTGGTCTTGAACTCCTGACCTCATGATCCACCCACCTTAGCCTCCCAAAGTGCTGGGATTACAGGCGTGAGCCACCATGTCTGGCCAAGAACAGAGGCTATGTTTTGAACTTCTGTGTGTGTTACAAGGCTTTGCATTAACTGCGCCCTCATGCAACTTTCCTAACCTTGCTTCTCTCCTATCAGGGACATTCTACTTCAGTCAGGAGAACATCCTATAGTATTAAAGTCCAGACTGATTTGTTTTCCTGGACCTGTGATTGCTAATACAACTGTTACTCGGTGTCTGTGGGGGATTAGTTCCAGGACCCCTTGCAGATACCAAAATCTACAGATGCTCAAGTCCCTGATTTAATATAGCTCAGTATTTGTCTGTAACCTATGCACATCCTCCTGTACACTTCAAGTCATCTTCAGATTACTTATAATACCTAATATAATGCAAATGCTCTATGTAAATAGTTGTTATACTGTATTTTTAAAATTTATAGTATTTTTTACTGTATTATTATTATTATTTGAATGTTTTCAATGTGAGGTTGGTTGAATATGCAGATGTGGAACCTGCAGATATGAAGGACTGGCTTTACTTTCTCCAGCCTCTCCTTCCCTGTCCTTCAATGCAGGGTTTTTGTTAAACACCATATCCTTGGCTCATTTATCTGTGCTTCTAATCTGATGGGTTCTATATTAACAGGGAGATGTCTGCCCAACTTCACATGCCAATTTTACCCTTATTGGTAGGCTCATTCTGAAGGTCCATATGTCTTTTTCATGTACTTATGTGCAGTCACAAAATACTGAAAACTGTGCCTTCTGTTTATATAACATATCTATTTATAAAACACTTTAAAAATTTTATCCTAACTACTGAGAGGTGAGCAGTGCAGCTGCTAACCTCATTTGCAAATGAGAGAATTGGTTCAAAACGACTGAATAACTTCCAAAATTTATGTGTCCGATAAATTGTAGTGATTAGAATTAGACTCCACTTGAGAGCCTTTTTCACATTACAAACCTGACAACAGTGGTTTTTTTCCCTGCCTATAGGCCTTGCAGAACCTAGTAGAGTTCTGTGCATGATGAACTCACTGAGGGCACTGGACACAGGCTCACACAGGGTCTGTATTATGGTGCTAATTTGGGCCACTATACCTCGAGAGAATTAACTTACTTTAAACCCCACTGTAGACATTTATAAAATGAAGAGTAAGACACCATGTATTCATAGGATTTTTTTTAAAAAACACTTTATTAATTCCGTTTCTCTTATCTTCATCTCTTTTTTCTTCTCCTTTTCTCTCTTTGTTTTCTTTTCAGTCAGTTCAACAATTAATTGGTGTTCTCCTACAATGTGCAAAGCAGTATGCTACGGTTCACAGGGGAATGCAAAGAGGATGCTGCTTATAGCTTGTTGTGGCGAGGAACTTTTCTTCTCTCTTTTCTGTTCTCCATTTTTCTCCATTCTTCTCTTCTTCCTACCTTCTTTTTCCTCTGATGTTCAAGTAGCCCTCATCATTTCCATAAATTTCCAAGGCTTCAGCTTTGGTCAAAGGGAAGGCACTCAGCCCAGGGCCAGTGAACGAGTTTAACATTCTTACGGTCCTTTGCATCTGCACACCCAGGGCTCATAAATACTCAATATAAAAGCTTTGGGGGTTTTGCTCTGTGACAGCTGGGGACTCCATGTAATTTAATGCATGATACAGCACTTTTGGCTAACTCTGTATGAGAGACTACTCAAATAGGAATAAAATATCACTTTGCAAAATACATTTAAATTATTTTCCTTCTAAAACTTTGTGACTTTAAAGCCTTAAAATCTATTTTTTGAAAGTCAAAAAATAACAGATGTTGGCGAGGCTGTGGAGAAAAGGGAATGCTTATACACTGTTGTTAGAAATTTAAATTAGTTTAGCCACTGTGGAAAGCAGTTTGGAGATTTCTCAAAGAACTTAAAGCAGAACTACCATTCGACCCAGCAATCCCATTACTGGCTATATACCTAAAGGAAAAGTAATCATCCTACCAAAAAGACACATGTGCTCACTGTTCATCTTAGTACTATTTACAGGAGTAAAGACATGGAATCAACATAGGTGCCTATCAGCAGTGGAGTAGATAAAGAAAATGTGGTACATATACACCATGGAATACTACATAGTCATAAAAAAAATGAAATCATGTCCTTTGTAACAACATGGGTGCAACTGAAGACCATTATCCTAAGTGAATTAATGCAGAAACAGAAAACCAAATATCACATGTTCTTACTTGTAAGTGAGAGCTAACTCTTGGGTACTCATGGACACAGAGATGGGAGCAATAGATACTGGGAACTCTAGAAGGAGAGGGGGAGGGGGACAAGGGCTATAAAACCTCCTGTTGGGCACTATGTTCACTCTCTGGGTGTTGGGATCAATAGAAGCTCAAACCTCAGCATCATGCAATATATCCTTGTAACAAACCTGCACATGCATCTCCTGAATCTAAAATAAAATTTTTTTTTTTTTTTTTTTTTTTTTTTTTTTGAGATGGAGTCTCACTCTGTTGCCTGGGCAGGAGGGCAGTGGTGCAATCTTGGCTCACTGCAACTCTGCCTCTCGAATTCAAGCAATTCTCCTGCCTCAGCCTCCCAAGTAGCTGGGATTACAGGTGTGCCAACATGCCAGCTAATTTTTGTATTTTTAGTAGAGATGGGGTCTACTATGTTGGCCAAGCTGGTCTTGAACTCCTGACCTCGAATGATCCACCCGCCTTGGCTTCACAAAGTACTGGGATTACAGGCGTGAGCCACCGTGCCCAGCCTCTCACTCCTCTTCTACACCCCACATAAGGTGCATGAATCATTAGACACGTCTATTTTTTTTCCCCTAAGGCTACATATTCTTAAAAGTAGTTTAAGTTACCTATTACCTCTAGGCTTTTTCCCATAAAAATCATCAGTAAATTATATGCCAAACATATGGTTTTTTTCTCAAGAACACAGTTAAAATAGACTTGATTCCTCTTTGCTGTCTCCAGTCCTCCTAATATTCATAGCAATAGGTATTTATCTATCACCACAAAACACACAAAAAGACTGGTGATTGCTTAAATCACAAGAGAGCAAAGTAGAAGGAACTAGAAAGAAGGAAGCAAGTGCAATCATGATTAGGCACTTACTCTGCATCCGTGGCTGGGTTAGGAACATTCATAGGACTTCATGAACCCTACTAAGTTTAAACCTGCTCTTTTACAAATGTGGAAACTGAGGCTCAGAGGGGTTAAATGATTTGCCCAGTGTCCTGTTGCTTAAAGTGTCAGAGTTGAGATTTGAACCCAATTGGTGTGACTCCAATTTTTTAAATATTTACTGTACCAAGGCTGGAGGGGGCACACATGGGCTCTAGAAGGATGCATGGAATGGGTACCTGGGTGGGGAAGGGCTAAAGAGGGGGCCTCAGTCGGTTTGACTAAGATATTTTCCTTCTCTGATTCCTGCCCCAAATGTAGAGTACTTATCCCAAATATGGATCCAACTTTGTGTAATATTTTAATGAGAGGGTCTTCTACTAATAGGACATCTCTCTTTTGTCTTTCACAGCAATTTTGCAGGCAGTAATAGCTGGTGATCTTATGAAGGTAAGATATCTTCCTACCAAATCCTTGGCAATGCTTTAAGAACTTTAAAACAACATCATTCCTCACCAAATTTCTGTGTTTCCATCTATCACTTATCATCCCCGTGCTTGCACTGGCTGAATAGAAGAGGCAAGATGTTCTTTTGAGAACTGAGCAGAGAGGGTGTTCAAGAGCACCAGGGTACTTGTCTCAGTTACTTAAAATGAACTGCATGTCCCCAGGCTGCAGTATGCGCAGTGTGCACAGTGTGCCTGCCCTCTGGAAGCTGACATTCGAAGAATTTAAAGATTTCCTTTCAGGCAGGTATTGAAATGAATGCATCTGTAAGAATTACCTGGACAACACTCAGAAATGCATTCTTCAGGTCAGAGATTAATCTTTCCTTTTTATGGTTTTATACTTTGGGGATCATAGTTAGTCAAACAAGAACCCTGATCCACTTGGAACAGTTTAATTTGTGCTTATGTTTTCTGGTGAGTTTTGTTCAGAAGGAAGGAAGCAGTCACCACTGCCCTGAGGGTGAATGTAAAATCTGAAGTCAGACTTTCTGAGTTCGGATCTTGGCTCTGCCTTACACTGTCTGTGTGATTTCGTGTAATTATTTAATTCTCTCTGTGCCTTAGTTTTTTCATCAGTAAAATGGAATAATATTACCTCTCTCTTTGGATTGTCATGAGGAATTAATGTAATAATACATAGAAAGCTCTCAAGACTGTTCCTATTACATGGAAGGGGCTCTAAAATGTTAGCTATTTTATTAATATTCTGATAGTATAGATCTGTGTTTTTTAAATAGCTAAACATGGTGGAAATACAAATATTTGTTATATAATATAAACATCATCTATGAATATTCTAAAGTTATTTTTGGTCCCACATCATTTTCAGGCATCAGGCTCATGACTTCCCATATGCCCCTGCAAACCCCCTGCTGGAACTGATCTGCTCTGTAATAATGACAGCTGCCTGAAGGCAGAGGCTGCGCCTGATTCCTTAGCCTGTGGAGTAAGGTGCCATTGCAGATTGAGGAACCAATAGCCCTCAGAGAAAGCTGAAAAGTCCTACCCTCAGACATAACTTTTTTTAGGCACATCTGTTGGACAAACTGAAGGACACCTATGCTACATTTTTCAACAGGTTACTAGAAGAAAACAAATGGAGAAAATGTTGCAAACATCTTGATCAGCTGCCCCCTTTAGGCACGTAATCCTGAAAATGGTGCCTGTGCCACTGCACAGATCATAGTGTCAATAGAAATTGTTACTCAGAAGAGTGCTCTCCAAGCAGTATATTGATGAGTTCAGTGCCATTTCTTACCAGTGGATTAAGCCCATACCATCCTGTACTCTGTGCACGGCCTTCCATTAGGTTTTGTGGGAAACAAAGGCATGAATATAATTGATTCCTGCCCCTGGTGGGTTTCTACACCAGAAAATCTGGCAAAGCACTGTACATTTGAAACCCTTCCATTTTATTTTCTATATGCTTTCAGTTTAGGCAACTGATTTCCCAGGATCCTGAGTTTATGATCACACTTTTTTTTGTACTTTTAAATAGAGAATCATTTGCAATGTGGGAAATCACTATATCCAGCTGGTTGTCTTATTATAGGTTGGTGCAAAAGTAATTCGGTTTTTGTAATTTCAGTGACAAAAACTGCAATTATTTTTGCACCAACCTAATGCATTCTCTGTTATAATTCTTGCCTAAATGACTAAAACATGACTTAATAACATCTTATTATTTTTTGTTTGTTTGTTTTTCTTTTTGAAGTTGGAGTCTCCCTCTGTCGCCCAGGCTGGAGTGCAGTGGTGCAGTCTCAGCTCGCTGCAACCTCTGCCTCCTGGGTTCACACCATTCTCCTGCCTCAGCCTCCCGAGTAGCTGGGACTACAGGTGCCTGCCACCATGCCCGGCTAATTTTTTGTATTTTTAGTAGAGACGGGGTTTCACTGTGTTTGCCAGGATGGTGTTGATCTCCTGACCTCGTGATCTGCCCGCCTCAGCCTCCCAAAGTACTGGGATTACAGGCATAAGCCACCACGCCCGGCCAATAACACCTTATTTACTGAGAGATGGAATATTTACTGAGGGCTTAAGGTTTTACTTTTTCTCTCTTACATATTTTCTTTATTTTCCTTCTCAAATATTCATGCCCTCTTTCTCTTCTCCAACTTCTTTTGTTTCTTTCTTCTGAGTAGAAAGTGCAATATATATAAAGTATTAAATTGGGTACATGTGTATGTGTTTGTACAAGAGGGAGAGGGAGAGAAAGAAAGAGAGGGAGGGAGAGAAAGAGAGCAAGAGACTAGCGAACAGAACGTCTCTGGAGCCACTCCTGTGTGAAGGCTGTCACAAATAGCTCCGGGACAACTGGGCTGCAAAAAATGCCCATGGACTAACTGAATGTTCACGGTGTCTAGAAACAGCACTGGAAGGCAGGATCCAGGCAGTTGACCCTGAACAGGTTTGGTTGGGTCTATGCTGTTATCCTTTGTCGATCTCCCCACAAAGAAAGGGAGTGTCATTTTAAGACAATGTGGTTGAACAGAACAGGATTCCCTTTTAGACTTTTGTGGAAAGTTGCTAGCTACTTCTTCCTGCCCTCTTGCCCCCCAGTTTAGGGATGGAAGTCCCATATGTTCCTTACCTTCATTCAGCTACTGCTTTTGATCCATGCCCTGGGAGGCCTTCCATGGCTCTTTCCATCCCCTGCTTCATGCTTCCCTAGTGCTTCTCTGAGACATTTGTGATGTTCCCGTCCATTACTGTGTGACTCTTTACCTATCTGTCTCCCCCATGGGCTGTGAGGGCTTTGGGCACAGTGACTGAATTGTATTTATCTTCCTGACATCTAGCACATGACAATTCTATGGATGTATTTGAGTGAAGACGTGAACTCTGAATTTATGTTCTTTTTTTTAAAAAAAATAATTTTAATTGACAAATGATTATACATATTCATGGAGTACATAGTGATGTTTAGATACATATAATATACATTGATCAGATCAGGGTAATTAGCATATCCAACACCTCACACATTTATCATTTCTTTATGTTGGGAATGTTCAACATCCTCCTTCTAGCTATTTAAAACTATTTAATATATTATTAACTATAGTCATCCTACAATGGTATAGAACACTAGGACTTATCCTTTGCATTTATGTCATTTATGCTCTTTTACCTTATGGGATGTCTGATTATCTATAATGTGTACCATCTAACTTCTTAAAAGATAATGTGTTCATTTTGCTTATTACCTGCTGGGTTATTTAATTCTCATTTGTCCTAAAATTACCTATTAGAAGCTTCATGTAGGCACTCTTGTCCTGATATACTGTAATTTGGAGATGAGGGACTCTTTCACATTTTCTATAATGTTCAGTATTTTATAAAGTTAGACCATATCCTCATTTAGCCACCTTATCCTCAGGCTACAAAATTCTGTTGTTGTTGTTGTTGTTGTTGTTATTGTTTTTTCCAGTCTTCTCTCACATAGAAACTATTACATTTTCTGAATCATTTTGGGTCTCACTCTGTACATCATCTCTAGCCTGTTAGGTATGTGTTGGGTGATTAACACAAGGTTTGCAGGCTCGGCTGCAGATCTGGATGAAGAAGGAAGCCAGGCGTGTGTTCGTGTGCGTGCATGCATGCATGCGTATGTGTCTATACTTGTATTCAGTGATCTTACACAGGAGAGACAAAGCAGCTTTGATATTTGGTATATAGTTTCATAAGACTAAAGAAAAACTGAAGGACACGGGCAAGAAGCTTAGCTACAGTCACCAAGGTATTCCTGCTTATAGCCATAATTACTCTTTCACTCAAGAGAATGCTAAGCCAACAAAGAGAGGCTTTTGTTTTCCACTCCACCCCTCACTCCCTTGAGACAGAGACCATAGAGACCAGTGCTCAGAAAATAAATGAAAAAAGTAATTCAGCATGATTCAGTTTCCCTAGCCTGTTCAATACTCACAGACTCTTTCCAGAGTTAGAAGAGACACTGGTCATCACTGTGAGTGATAACACAGTCCAGGAATGTTACTTCATCTTTTTGACTTTTCTCTATGTCCTCTGAGGCTAGAAACATTGTGGTTTGCTACATGACTCTTATTTTATTACCAGTTAGCTGTTATCCTTGTTCCAGATTCTGCCTGAGCTTCTTTTTGTATGTCTCTCTTGCAGCTAATAGAAAGCTATAAAAATGGAGGCAGTCTGCTAATTCAGGGACCAGACCACTGTTCACTCCTTCACTACGCAGCTAAAACCGGCAACGGGGAGATTGTGAAATATATCCTTGACCACGGTGAGTAGGCATAGTGAACTTACCAAGGATCACTTATCTGTGAAATCCATTGCATTTTACATTTTCTAAGATGCCCTTCATCCAGGCAGTCTTCAGAATGGCAGAAATACTCTCGAACTTTTAGCCGACTGCCCCTGCTTATTTGAGGCAGTCATGGTTGCAGACCACTGACACATATGGGCCATCCTAACCAAGCAATTAATAGAAACAGTGTTCATACCAAGTTCTTTACAGGCTATTTTTCAGACTAATTACTTTTTTTAAAAATAGGGGACAAAAATAAATGCAGCCTGGCATTGTGCACTTTATTTTCTCTAGAGCTCTTCTGTAAATTAATGGGTTGGGATTCCCTGCCTAATCCATATTTGTGGTTCATCATTGTGAAGATTCATGAGGATAATTTTTTTACATCTTTCTAGTTTCTCTCTTTTTTTTTTTTTTCCTGTTTGATCTCATTTATCTTTTCCACCCAGGTTACACTTTATTCTCTTTGAAAACGTCTGGTACTATTGTGTTGTCTGTGGCAGATCATACTAACCTTCCAGACTGCTTTCTAACTGGATTTCTAATTTGGTGCCAGATCGTTTGCAGGAAGTAGCATGCACTATAGCACCTGCCTCTAAAAACCCTTTGGAAGCATAAACATATTTGATGAATACTAAATCTAAACAGTTACATTCAACTTATCATGTTTCATAGTATTTCCAGGAATAAAGTGTAAAAAATACTGCCTAGCTAGGCTGTTTTAAACGAGAAGGAATGAAAGAGTCTAATTCTGCTGGACCTTGGTATACAGAGAGATTGGAAAAGTTTCTTTGAGCCCTGACAGTCAGCCTATGGCTGACTCCTTTTGCACCCAAATTCAGCCTGTAGACAGTAAGCATACTCGTAAACATTCACATCATTTTTGCTCCTTTTTTTTTTTTTTTTTTTTTTTTTTTGCAATTCAGCAAGTATGTCTTATTCCATTCATTGATTCATTCATTTAACAAATATATGTGTAGTGCCTAACAGGAGCTGCCTGTTATAGATGGTACACACACAAAAATAAAATACAGTCACTGTTTTCAAGTAATTGCAGGCTAAAGAAAAAATAAGATCATGTGTATAATTAAATTTAAAACAGATATGTGGAGCTGTTTTAAGTCCTATGGTAAAGCCACAGATAGATAACGTAGCTACCATTTGTCAAGCACATATTTGCCAATTGTTTATAGTAGACGCATCCCATCATTTGATCTTCACAAGGTCCTTGCAAGGTAGGTACCAAACTGTCAATCATGTTAGACACCCCTTGCTTTGTCTTCAGCACCTTCTCACTGTTGAGATTCTGCTTGAACCCTTGCTCTGAAATACGGTGGAAAGGGTGGGTTGGAAAAAGGAAAGACCAGGAAAACAGAAGGGCTGTGGTGACAGAATTTCTTTACTCCTTGTAGGCTGGGTTGGATAATCCCAAACCCGTCTGCCCTGGAAAGCCTAGGTAGGTAGGATGTATTTTTGGTGCTAAGTCTGGGGCTTGTATCATTCCATCTCCTATTTCCCTGGCTATTCAATCTCTTGCAGTTAAAAGTATTTCTTTCTGGGCAAGAGTGAAGCCACAGTGCTACTGTATTCTTTTTCCCTGAATAAGAAAATATCTCAGGATTTCTACTGCACAAAGCTCAGGTGAGGGTTAGATGTATACTGTCACTTTATTTTTCTTTAGCTCAGGTTTAAAGTTCTCCTAGTTGCTGTCTTGTTGATCACTTCCAATCTACTCTCTTTAGTATACCCTTTACCCAAGAGATTGAATGCTTGCTTGGATACCTTAAGACATTTGGTGCCCACCTACCCTTTCTCTGGAGTTAGGTGAGACACTGGCCATCTATTTGAGTGACAACACAATCCAGGAATCTCTCTCTCCACATCCCCCCACCCATCTTTTCATCTTTCCTCAAGAAGCAGTATTTCCTCCCCTAGTCCTAGGATCCTCTCTGTATCCACCGTCTCACTTGGTCTCATTTAGGAGGCTGCAGTCAGCTCCTTTTTTGGATGAGGCTTTATTGAAGATGGACTCTCACATATTTGGGGCTTTCAGCTGGGATGGCTGTGGAAGGCCAGGACACCTAAGCCTTTCTCAACACCTGGTCTTTTTTTCCCAAGATTCTTCACAGCATGGTAGTACTGGGGTTCCCAGGGGTGAGAGTGGAAGCTGCCAGATGTCCTGAAGCTAAGTTGGGAAGTTCTGGTTGTTCTCTACTGTATACTGTTGGCTAAAACAAGTCACAGGGCCAGCCCAGACTTAAAAGGTTGGGAAACAGATTCCACTGTTTGATGGCCAGAGCTGTGAATAATTCATGGAGATATTTAATCTACCACACTCTCTTATGTCCCAGCCTCTGCAGTTTAAAGTGAGCAATGTTCTGAACTTCTGACTCACCTGGAATCCCTTAGAGCTTCATTTTTCTATTTGACTTTGGTTCTGGGTCCTAAGAACCCAGGTTTCATAAATAAAAATACAAGATGGCCAGGCATGGTGGGCCCATAGTCGCAGCTACTTGAGGCTGAGGCGGAAGGATTGCTTGAGCCTGGAAGGTGAAGGCTAAGTGAGCTAGAATTGCACCACTGCACTCCAGCCTGGGCAGCTGAGCCAGACCCTGTTTCTTGAAGAAAAAAAAAAAATGTAACAATAATGAAGGTTTTAGCATAAGTACAGCCCATGCAATATTTGAAATATGATTATACTAAAAATGAAAACAGCAGGGCTCCTCATCTGAGCTGCCCCAGGGACATGAGTGATGAGTCCTGGGATTATATCACCCTGACACAGTAGCTTTTCACTTCCTCTATTTCCTCTCTTTCCCCTGCCTCCAAAAATAGGGCCTTTGAAAGCACCGTTCATCCAAGCTCACAGGACTTGGAGTTTCTAACCCCAAATGTAGATCAGTGCACACCTACTTTGCCTGGCATCAATTCATCCGGCACATTAGTCTCTGAGGGCTTTGATCAAAACCTAACCTTCCAACACAAATCTGTTTCTCATCAACCCGCAGTGACTTTTGCAAAGACTGAGTCACACAATACCACTCCACCCAAGTGGAAGGACACAAAGGAATTCAGTCTTTTTTTGAGGGGTGGGAGTGCTTAGTCTTCCAATGCTTTGGTTAGATTTTATAAATTAATCAGCTTAATATTTATGCTCACTAGAAGAAACACAATATTCACAGTAATCATCCTAACTTCACTTCTAGGCAAATAATTCCTGAGGTCTCAGAAGGCATCCTATACCCTTCCTGCCTCACCAGGATCTCTAATCGCACAGGGAGAAAGACTGTAGAGATGGGAGAGCACAATCCATCTCTTTTGTTGGCAAATAAAATGTTATTATGATGTTCAGTCCAAGGGTCACTGCATTTTTGATGGATGGCAATTTTTAACACTTTACTACTATAGCTGAATATGGAGTCTCAAATGCAATTGATTCTTATTGAAATTAGTTGTCAACCTTGATAGACATTGTCAATTTCATTCTCCATGTCTATCTTAACTTTTTTATTTATTCAGAAATATGGATGTAAAATCATTTGATATAACCTAATTCACCTAATTCCACAAGAGCTAAACACTTCAGCTCAACTGTTGTTTTGTTTGTTTTTTAATATCTTTAGTTGCTAATTTAGTTTATATTAACCTTTGCATTTTATTGAAAACCATCATAGCAAAACCACTCCTCTCTTTTTGATGATAGAAACTCCTTTAAATTGTAGTGTTCTTGAAGTCAGGCACAAGTACACAGAAACTTGTCAATACCTTTTCAATTCTGTAATCACCTTCTTAAGGGTGATCTCTGTTGATTGAAATAGTCTCTGCTAACTTAGTAATGATGATAACTCTGGAATACCCTGACCTGACAAAGAAAACAGCCTTCCCAAGAAGCCTCAGTAAGTCTGAGATTTAGGGATGTATACCAGACTATGGCATTGTATTTTTAAATTAGCATCAGATTTGCAGTAGGTAAGTCTGATCAGTTTGAATTCATGTAAATGAAAATAAATAAATAAATAAAAGTTTTACATTATGCCAAAGATCAAGAAAGACATTCCTCCTGGTTGTTGAATATTGCAAATCTTTTAAAGCCTTTGTTGTTCATTTACTTATTTTTCACAATTTGGTTTATGTCTGTCTCATGGTTTCATATGACGTAAAAAAAATTGTTCAAAGACTTGACTGTAATGATGACGTTAGTAATAGCAGTTCTGAAGGATTCACAGGCTCTTTTCCAGGTGCACAGCTGATGTTGTTTGTGGCTCTTGAGTTGACACTTCGTTTGCTTCCTGCAGCCTTACTCCTGAGCCCCTCTCCCCTCTGCTCTGCCCTCTTCTTCATTGGCTGTGGTCAGGAGTGTGGGCCGCCACCATCAAGAGGACACCTGAACAAGAGTCCTGAGATTAGTTATTCTCTCAGACACAACAAGCAGCAACTGATTTCTCTTCTATGGGCTCTTTTAAAGCAGGCTGGGGGCTGTGCCACATGAGATGTGCGGTATGTTCTGAAAGCGCCATGGGAGGCTTGAATTTTTTTCAGCTTGCATCTTCTTCCTTTGGATGTCTTCTCTCATCTATACAGCATGCTGCTTTCCTTTATGAAAAACTGGAATTTGGACATTTAGAGAGTTGAAAAGAGACTTGGGGAGGAAGAGTTAACAATTCCACAGAGACTGGGAGAGAGACTAAGGATGCAGGGATTCCAGCTGAGATTCCTCTCAGTGCTTCCCGCTTTTCAGCTCCTTTCAACCATATTTTCTGCCCACTCCCTCCCCCTCATTTGCCCCTCCAAGGGACTTTTGTGTTGTTTCTTTCCTTCACCACCCTGCACACTCTGCTCTTTTGTTTTTATTCTCCCCACGCCTACCCCATTGCCTCCTACTGGTTTTCCTGATAGAAATCTCACTCATGCATTTCCTTTTTGATTTCAATGGGTTATTTTGTCTTCCCTCTTTTTCTGTCTTCAGTCTTTCTTTT